TTGAATATATGTAAAGTGACTATGGTGTTAGGTGCTGTTGTATGTTCTGCTCCGGCCTGTGACTTTGAAGGAGCAAAGTTGACTTGCCTCCCACGTTTTTCCCAGTGGGAAATATTTCACTATAGGTGGCATTAAACACTAATTACCCGTCTCCTGTTTGTTAACTCTGTTGCAAGTTGGCTAATTTTCTTCTGTTTTCTTTATCCTCTTACTCTCTTAAGAAAACCCAAACAAACAAAAAAACAGATTTATTTTGACTAAGACTCTTGTCTGTATCATCCTTTGTTTATGTGACCTTTTCAAAAATAAAAGGCATGAGAGTGGGGTGAAAAAGTAACATTATGGTTACCAAGCGACAGGAGCTGTCTTACACAAGTTGCTTAGTTTTTTGATTAAACAAACTTCAGAAGTAGTTGGTTTTTTAAGTACTTGCTTTTCCTAATAATTATAATGTCAGGGGGATTTGCTTGGTGAGGTTGTTTGAGGTTTTTTTAAGTCTGAGCTGTGCAAGACATCACAGGAAGAATTTGACATACCAGCTCACTGTAGGAATGGTTTAGGACTGAGCTGTTGACTCATGAATGTACCCCTCTGAATTCATACAGTGTTGTTCCACTTGGCTATTGTTCATTCCCAGCTTGTCAAATGCGCCTTCTCCTTGTAGGCATTTTGTTTTACAGCACTAGCAGGGTAGGCTCACTCTTGTCACATCATTAGAGAAATACAGCAAAAAGGTACTAATTGATGAGGGATGCCTGGCTTTGATGTGGGGTAGTTTTTCTCATGTGATTTATAAGCAGTCAGATTTTGCAAGACTTCTGGAATCAGTACCACAACATTTGAAATACGGAGAGCAAAAAAATTTCTGTATTTTACATGAAGTGGAAGTTAGATTTGCTGTTAAACAAATTACTTTGCTCGAGACAGAACAAACGCTGCTGCATAGTTTATGAAGCTTTCATCTTCCCCTGTCAGAGACACGAGTAAAAGCTTCGTTCTTTTAGCTGTATATCCAAGGAAGAAGAAAGACAAGGAAGAGCTGGAGCAAAAAGTAACCTGTTAAGTGTCAGCTCTGAAACAAGCACAAAAGAATCATTTTATCTTAATGTGAAAAAGTAAAATCTTTTCACATTTAGATAAGGGGAAACTATTGTCCCTGGCACTGTTTTTAAAATACACTTTTAAGGCCATATATTAGAGTCGCTCTACTTTGCACAACTGAAAATGAGCAGAAGTAGTGTTTGTATGGCCAGTGTCCATACTGGAGAGAAAATAAAAAACAAACCCTCACCTCAATTTTATCCGATGACCTGAAAAATCATGCAGGTCCTCTTAAGCATTTATCACCAGTATTAAAGTTCTGCAGATAAATTTGGCCTGTAGTAATGACTAGTTGCCTCTAGTTTTCCAGTCATTTTGCACAAGCATTCCTGTTGCAAGAATTTAGCAAATAAAAATGACACAGAGAATGGCAACCCAATTGTCCCTCTCCTAGCAGCATAGGAACATGTAATCACAGGGTAAGCTACGTCACTTTTGCAGTCAGCTTTGATAAAGCACTGTACCATACAAAGTGTACTTTTAAGTACTTTCTTTTACTTCTCCTCTTATACTATTATGGTATACTGATTACACACACGCACGCCTCAAAACCCAACAGCTGCTGCCTAATAAGACATGAACAGAGGATAGTCATGTTGTTAGCAAGTGTTTCCCTTAATTATCATAGATGTAATAAAATATGCAAATATCTCACAAACCGAAAACATCTACATGTATGGCACATTGTTAATTGGGATTAATGCCTTGACAAAGAGGTTTTCTTTCTCAGCTTTAACAAAAGGAGGTGGTGCGGATGACAGGGATCGCTACCTTATCCAAAAATTGCTGGTTTTCAAAATGGGAAAGGAATAATCCTAAATCTGACTTTTGACTGTATGTTGTTAAAATCTTTCCAAATTAACCTGCTGGAAGCATTATTTCTCCCCTGTTAGCACAGATGGGCTCTCTCGAGCGGTGTTTTCTGTAACTGAAGAAGGCACCCTTCATTTGTATTTCGTTCTCATGGGCAAAGCAGCCAATAAACGCTACTGTGACATTCCAGGTAGATTAACAAAACATGATCTAAAGTTTACCTGCTCCTTCTGGGCAGCAGTTTGAGCTTGTCCAGGTTGCAACAGCCAATTTTTTTCTTTCATTGTTTTCATTCTTTCTCCAATTGTTAATTCTTGAATTTCACTTACTACAGCATTTCTAGGAAGAGCTGACTCGTGACTGCTACATAACTTTCTCACGTTCGAGTACAAATTTAAATGAGAGGCAGCTACAGTGCAGGTGTGGAGAAGTGCAGCAAGATCCTAAGAGCAGAGTGGGCAGATTGGTTCTCCTGTATGAATGAAGACGACAAGCCAGGCAATGCTGAAAGACACTTTAGTGGTCAGACAGCTACCAGACATCAACATCGATCTGCCACAGCATTTGTTCCAATCTTGCTTCTTGCCCACAGTCTGTCAGTTGTACCGCTAATGTATACTGGAGACAGATCAAAACCACTCTTCCATTTTCTGTTATGAGCCAGATTTACATAATATTTTTAAACAAGGAAAGATACTGAGCTACCCGTTGCCAGTACAGAGCGCTCAGATTCATTATTTTTATATTCAAACTAATACAGCTGGCTTGCTGTTTCTTTAGGTGCCCTTTCTGAGCCCAAACAATGGTTCTGTTGAAAGCACCAAAAGCATACACCATCCAGAAGCATGCCGTTAAATTTCTGCCTGCTCTTAACAGATGAAACATCATTTTCTTGGAAATTTGGGAATTACCAAGTAAATGAATTCCCAATTTGTTTCCTGTCCTGTGAAGCAATTTGGGCTATTTACATAAATGACAAGACCTAATGACCTAGTCATGAAGCTTAATGAAAATACTGCCCGTGATTTGAACAAATGCAGAGCTGGCTTTTAATTTGCCTTACATACAATGCATAACAGTGATAATGCTGAGAAAGAGATCCAAGGAATTTTCTCCAATTCTCCTGCACAAAGAGCAGGCAGTATTTTCCTCAGCATACAAGGACTAAGACATGCAGGCACATAAACCACAAATAAAAGTTGTGATGATATCGTACTCAGTTTTACTCGAAAGAGAAATGAAAGGATCTTGGAGGAAAGTGGAGCAACTGGTAGCTTAACACTGCATTTCCACATAGCACCAACTGCTCAGATTCAGTAACAACTTCCGTTCATTCATTCCTCTGCCATCTGTCACTTAAGTGTATTGTACAAAGGATGACAGGTCTCCTCAAGTGGCTGTAAAAGCTCAGTGACTACATCCAGACAGCTGATCATCTCCAAAGAAATCAACTATGGTAGCTTCTGACTATGTAAGAAATCACAATTTTGAAGGGGGAGGGGAAGTAGTAACTGGCTTTTCAGAACAAGGCTGGAATCCACCATATTTTTACTAAAATTGACCTGATCTTGCTGTAGAAATCATTTGTTGTTTGGCTGAATACAGACAGTATGGATAACAGTGAGAGCAAACAGGGAAGTTTCTGAGGAGGCTGGTTGAGTTTTTCTATTCTTATGAACACAAGAACTTACTAAATCAGTAAAACTTCCATTGATCCAACCATTCCAACTTGCAGTATGAACACCTGACTCATGTTGCAGTAGTACCAGCGGACACTTGCTTTTTGCTTTCTTGTAACAGAAACAAAAAAATCACTGTCAAAGTACTTTCTCCATTTAAACTACAGTGTTACAATAGTAAAAATTACTGGAAAAAAATCAACTGAAGCTTTATAAATAATTAAATCATGATACGAACACATTCAGGAATTGAAGTTTTGCATGCTGAATGAATATTTTATTTAGAACCAGTTTATAAAAATAAAATACAAAATAATTTGAAAACAAAACTTAAAACATTGTACAAAGCCTTGATATGGTACAAATGAGAAAATAAATAATTACAACTTTATGTACAAATGGCAATTACAAGGGCATTAACTTTTTATGTTCTTGGGTGCCTGAGCAAACTTAAACGGAAAAGAATAGCTTAGAAGATTTCCAAGCAGGGGAAGAGAACTGCAACTGCCAAGCAAGAAAATTTGATGGACTCAACGTTTGTCTTCCTCAGTGGTAACAAAAAATTTTGGAACTACTTTGCACTTAATTTAGTCATGCTACAGATTTTACTACTGAGTACTTAATTTTGTATGGGGTGACAACATTGTACTTTTAATTAATACACAGATTTCAGTCTTTGTGGCATTGCCCAGAGGTTTTAGAATAGCAGCCATTGGTTGGCAGCTTCAGAAAGTCAGTACTTGTCTGAAGGCATTGCTGGTGATTTCCTTAATTTACTAGATTGGATATTCATAGGAAAACATTCAAAAATTGACATCTGTTAGCACAGCACTGCAACTTATCTCTAAGCTGACTCTATAGAAAGAAAGTTGGGGAAGAATTTCAAATCTTGCTTTCTAGCCAAGGAAAGTAAAGAGGATGCAGAGAAGGCTGCTAGGCAACTAATCCAGATTTCCAGTCAGAGGAAAAGGATGTGAAATAGACAAAAAAATCCCACTGCACTTTAAGTCAAACCTTTATGACCTTGCCTGCTACACAGTAGACAAGGGTTTAAAAGCATTTGAAGCCAGGCAGACCAAACCACACTGTATCTTTTGGAGCAAGCTGGTTTGCTGTTATTATACTTCATTTATATAAAAGTTAGGTGAATGATCAAGTGATCTCAAAAGGAAACAAACATCTGCAACTCTTAATTCCAGCTGAATTTCCACAGACAGTTGTGGATGATCAGGACCTTCTATGAGTAGCCCACTTGCGGTACTGTTTTAAAAGAAACCATTTTGTGATCTTGGCCAAAGCTGGCTCTCAGCACTAATTCTTGCACAAAAGGAGAGCTCAAAGGGCATGTCATACCATAACAGTAATTAAAAACAAAACAAACAAACAAAAAAAAACCACCACAAAAACAAACATTTTCCAATTTAAAATACAGCCGCTGCAGGTATGATATTTATAGTGAGTTTATTCCTTCAGTCCCTAAACAGGGGAAAACAATTCAACAAAACAAGACCCTATACTGATTTTAATGGAAGTTTCACCTGCAGAAAACCAGCAAGAATTCCCAAGGATCCAAGTTCTTCATGTGGAAGAGAAACTGGAGCAAAATACATAAATGGCATATGCTAACATTTGGGTTTATCACTATTACTGTTAAGAGAGAATGTGTTACCAATAATGGAGAGTAAAATCAGCCCTCACGTTGAAACCCGGGTGGCTAGAATAATGGCCAAGTTAATACATTAGACTTCAAAACAACACTCCTATGTATTTTGCCTTAAAAAAAAAAAAAAACACAAAACCCAAAAAACCCAAACACCAAACCTCAAAGGCTAATATTTAAAAGCCTGATTATTTAAACCACAGGAAAATGAGTGATAAAAACTTTTCAGCATTTGACAGTATCTTAAGATAATTCCAGACAATTATTACACGATGCAGGCTGACTTACATAATTTCTCTTTTACAAATGTTATACGTAGGGAAGACTGGCTTCAAGCAGACAGCTGAGGTATTACCGTGTGAGGTGCGTGTTTATGCAATTTGCATATATTAGCTAAGAAATGTATGACCTATGCCTATGTAGTGCATGTAGTCAAAACAGCAAACCTCGCTTATTTTTACCAGCGTTACCTGTTACTGAAAATTGCAGTAATTGGAACCAGACACTTGAGCCAAAAGCAAAACAGCAAACAAAACCCTTCAGTTCACTGCCTACTAAATTAGCTGAAAGAAGTAGAATAAAACTATTATGCACTGTTCCACAAGTTTCAGAAATAGGAACGAGCATTCAAAGCTTTTACCAGCTGAAGAAAGGAATCACGGATCATCATTCAAGGCTTTTATTTATATAGCTGACAGTTCTCCGACCACTCCTTACAGTGGAAACGCATACAGAGAATGTGCCACAGGGAATCATGGTGTTAACCTAAGACACCTAAGCAGCCCCTTGCTCACTGGAATTGACAAGAGGGGCATGGCTTTCATCACCTCACGGGATCAGGCTCGCATGAAAAAATTAAGATATATTATAGGCCTATAATGAGAAACCAATTTGACTCTGCGCTCTCCTTTATTCTCACATTCCTTTTCAGCAGATTCCTCTCTCATTTAACATATATTTAAAAATTGAAGGCACATATCCCTAGTTTGCTGTTACACTCTTTTAAGAAATTGGAATAATCACCTTCTTGCCAGAATTTATGCCTCAGTGTTCCACAGAAACGTCCAATTCGTTACAAAAAACATTTCTGTTTTCAGGAAAGAGCCTGTACTGTAAGTCTGGCTTTGTCTACATTCTCACTGAAGGGAAAAAGAAAATTTTTTTTTAGAAGCACTACAGTCTGCCATTGCAAAAATGTTACTGCAGTAAGGAGAACTTCTGGGAGTTTTGCTCAAGTAGGACTATAGGATCAGGCCTTGTAATATGGATAAGACACAGAATCAGAATTAGGGCATAGCCAAATTACGGTAGATGAAGAGGAGATCAGAGCAAATCAAATCAAAACAGGCCTCAGCTCACTCTGGCAAATTAATTCTAGTAAACAGGATGCAATAGCTTAGACTGTTCCTATTTATATGTATATACACACATATGTATGTATGTATATATTTTTCTATATAATATACAGTATCTATGTAAGTGTATATATCGATACACTTATGTACAAATACGTATTTATATCTATAAAATCAAAACTGTGTTTTCCCAGCTATAGTTAATACCGTAAAACTACAAATTGGAAGTGATAGAGCTCTTGCAATTCTTTTTCAGACGAAAAATATTTCAAGCTATTTTTAAATATATAGGACCAGATCCTCCCCTTTACATTGAGACTGTTTAGTGAGGTATGTAAGAAAGCTTGATCTCAAACATGCAGACTTCAAGGCAAAAATATGTCCAGATTTCCCAAGACAGGATGTGGCTGGTGGCTATAATGAATGCCCCATGTCACTCCCCAGGGGTTTACCTCCTGAATAATTGTATATAACTAGCAGTTAAGCCCTCATACTGCTCCTGCCTTTGAGCACTGAAATTTTCTATGCTTACCGATCCTGCTCCAGTAGTAGATAGGTGCCTAGCATCATATAACTTGCCAGTGTTGCTCTACTGTATCACACCTTCTATTACTTTTAGCAGGGTTTTACTTAAGTCATAACTGGCATTTGTAATTAATAATGAGGTTTATTAATATTAATATAGATTTTTGAGGTTGCAACTTAAGATTGCTTATACCATGCAGTATCACAGCACAGAAGACTGTGAAATGTTCAGTCTTTTCAAGTTCTATTTTAGTTGAAAGGCTTCATGCCTCAGTTTCTCTAAAAAATGCTCCAAAGTGCTGGCCACAACACAGGAAACACCATAGAGAGGAAATGTGTGTGCAGCATCTGCTACATGTCAGGGCTCCATTGCACTGCCCTCTAAAGAAGTGGAGGCTTGAGGAGGACAAAGTAACAGCTCCTTGAATTATATTGTTTCCCAGCTAAAATCCCTGCGTAAGCCTCTGCGGGCTATGCAGAATAACTGTAACCAGTTTTTACAAAGGAGAAAAACCTTCCCCGTCCCTGAAAGTCTGTTGCAGATAACCCTCCCTAAACCATTCAATCACACTCTGCACGAGGGCCACACACATGTACACTGGTGTTTTTATGCAGTCAGTTGCATATTTAAATATCAAAGCTTACAGAGTGCTTGATTATACAGGCCCTCTAGAAATATTAAGCTAATATTTATGTGTGAGTTGATCAGCTGACCATTACCTAACCACATTAACCGCTACATTAGACTACAGTAAGCAATTCTGTAAACTTTTGGGGGGATGGTATCAAGCAATAAAAAACTCCATAAGAGTGGGTAGTTCAAGATAAAGTTATTCACAATCACTCCTCCATTCATATCTTCATGATTTTCTCACTAGACCCTGTTGAATTCACAGCAAAAAGCAACTGGGGCTATACAGTCTTTATAGCTTTTTCTGCTCTGAAAGAAGCCTGGGTCATCAATCCTGATTAATAACTCTTTCTCCATTTTGGCATAGTTTACTATTTTTACATTGGCAAGTAGTTCAAGTACAAGTGAGTTTCTACAGCATTGATTTATTTTACATAGTAATGTGCAACAATGGACAAGTTTGACTCTGAAGACAGCACAGAAAATCCTTAGGTGTTATATTCTTTGTCACCTGTAAAGCAATTACCTGTTTCTGGATCCTGCTACACTGGAGAGAAAATATAAACACCTCAACTTCAGCAGTTCAGGCAAGGATACATAAAGTTGGTTCCTATTAAAACTGACCATGTTAATGTAGGAATAAGCTTACAAGACCATAATAAATGCTTTTCAGAAATAAGGGAAAGGGGAAGAAAAATAATCATAGACTGCCACACCACCTTAACAAATAGTTCCAGCAGTGCCCAGGGCAAAAATATTACAATAGGACCAAACTCTCTTTATGGTATACTGTAAGGAAGCATGAAGAAAACAGGAAGGAGAAGATGAAATTTGTTATTGTCACATTCATCTGTTAGGTATTCATTGAATGTCACTGCTCCTATATGACAAGCATTCATAACAATTAAGAACTCACATTCTGAAATAAAAATAAGTAACCACAAGCCCTGTTTGTAATCAAAAATAAAAATACCTTTGAGTCTCTCTTCTTGTTCCATATGCAAACGCACACACAAAATTATAAACAAAAAAAGCAAGCTGCAAGACAAAACATTGGCTGGTTGAGAAATCAGCAGTCCTTCAATCTTATACCAAGGTATAAAGGCTATTAGAATTTGTGCATTCCAGAAATTGTTTGGGGAAAATAGAAGATGTAATGCTAAAAGTATTCAGAAATTAACAGAAAGGGAACCGTATTATTTGTGGTCCATAAATTACAAATGAAAAGTGAGAAAAGAATGAGTTTATATAAGCATATACATATATGTATATATATAAATATTTATATTATATAATTTACCATGAGGACATGCAATTATTGGTATAGCACCTATTATACAATATAATACAAAGGAATAGGACTTTCCAATGGTACAGTTTCTTCAGAAAAAGCAGGTATACCCTACCTATTGCATTCATCTGTAGTGCTTGAAACCTGAATGAAATTAAGGTTCCACACTGTGCTACATTACATATGGGAAACAATATACATATTCATAGGAAGAAAAGAAAAAAGAATAAATCAACATAGTCTGACAAAGCAAGTGAACTTCAGTGCAGCTCCAGGGCAGCTTTAATGCAGCATTAAAATGTGTTAGCTCAGAGACAAAATATTCCCTTTTTAATCCAAAGGTATTCATTTGGCAGAGGTTAAATAAAAAAGCACAGATGCTGGCTGAAGGAGGCAATATGACTGCAGCAAGCAGATCAGTAACTGACAGGTCTCCTATGCATCCAGTGTCCCCACAATAGGAATAATTACAGAGAGCTGGCTGCATCTTTCTCAGGCTTGCATTCTTGTGCGTTACTACTCTTAGCCACTATTCCCTTCTGACTATAGCAAAAAGTGCTGTACCGTTAAGTTCCCAACAGAGATCCAGTAGGGCACAAGAGATTATTAAGTAATTACCAGACAAAATTGGAGGAATTAGACACCACAGACTTTACTGACAGACAGTGAAGCTTGGCTATCAAAAAAACCTTTGGGGCAAAACAACGACAAGAATCCAACATAAAAAATATCTCAGATTGCCTTCTGTATGTTTTGCTTTGATGACTAATATTCTTAACCAGATTTTGTAAGGGTGTTAAGTATATTTCTGTCACCTGTAGACAATCTTCTCATCTGTTTCAACTTTCATGTTTTTATTTTTAAAATGACCAAAAAATCAAAAGCAAATATTTGTTGATAATCATCTCTGCACGATAAGATCAGCGATTTAAGTGATCCATAACTAATGGAAAAACAAAAGCCAGCAATAATAAGAGTTAAGGGAAAACAGGTACTTCTGTTTTCTAACTTATTTACTAGCTTACGTAGTAATTTATCATAAATCTGCAACATTCATTGAAGTGCAGACATCTCCTCCTTTCTGTCATTTCCTAGACAGGAATAGTTCTCCAAATGCTACCAAACGCGGTTTGAAGAACCCCACCATGACTCCTAAAGAAGTGCATGATATAGAACTGAGAATTAGCTTCTTGGATTCTAATGAGTACTAAACAAATTTCTAAAGAATATAGATATAAAAACATCTTGGCAAATGTTAATATTCATTTTTAAAACATCATCAGTGTCAAGAAGGGGCAAAGTATACGATAGGGAAAAAGTCTGCGCCATGGTAGATAGGGGACAAGATGAGAACTGAGTGACTCAAGAGATGTGTGCAGCTCAAAATGGAAGTGACTTATTAGGTAGAAATACCATCGTCTTCTAAATGGTGTGCTTTTTTAAAACCACAAAGACATGCTTGAGCAGTACTAGTCTCCCAAGTGGTGACATTATTTTGGGAATAACTGTTGCAGGTTTCCTTACGTACTCCTTGAGTATGCAAGGTCTTAAATAGTTAGGCCAAATCTCCTAGCTAGGTAAACTAAAAACATTGAAATAAATATCCTTTTAAAACACTCACCTTAGAGATTTTTATTTTTTTTTACTCTAAATACATTGCACCTCGTTGACTACTTAGTCATTCTTATCCTGGCCTCTACTTCCCCTCTCACAGATCTGCTTGCTGCCTGCTCTTAGGCAATGCCTGGCCACTTATTTACACAGTATGCTTTCTCATGAATAGTTTATGCTGCTTGCTTTCTTTAAAAAGCGCAGATTCGACAACTTTTTTTTAAATTTTTTTTTGATTATTTTTTAAAATACACAGTACACAGACACAACATGCATCAGATTTAGGAGGAGGCTTTATACCTGTCAAGGCCCAGTTCCTATCTGCTAAGCTTAGTGGTTGATTTGCTCTTTCCTGTGGGAGTCTTAGTGTTAGGGGAATGGTGGAAGGAACTGCCAGATCCTTTCAGACCATTCTTGCTTGGTTTGTTGCAGCAGTGCTCTTGTTGGCAGGATCTCCTAGAAGATGAGGAGCCTGAATGGCTAGGAGGTGATTTACTCCTCCCAAGATGTGGGGATGAACTCCTCTGATCATGATGGGGTCTCCCAGCCCGGGACGGAGAAGAACTGGCAGTACGGGGTAAGGAAGAGCTCCTAGGGGAGGCACTAGGACTGCGTCGGGGTATAACAGGGCTTTTGGGTGGTGTTTTTGGACTATGTGGAGATCCTGGACTCTTACACTGGGTAGAACTCCTTGGTCTTTGAGATCCATTCTGTAGGATTTGAGCCAGACGAGAGATAAGATCTGAGTCCGAGCTGCTACTCCCTAGGACTCTGTATCTGCGTAACCTTAAGAAGAAATGAAGAAAGATTATTTCTGTTCCCATCTATTCACTAAAATTCATATAGAAACACAGTATCACTAAAAACTAGTGATGAGCTTACATTGCAGAACAGACACCTGGAGCTGAACTTTCCTACAAGGTAGAGGTTCTTGGATCTAGGCTTTGGCTTCTGTGTTGTTCAAATCAACACAGTATTTATATCTGCATAAACTCACGCACATAAACACCTTAAGTGTTTACAAGGTAACTGAAATTTCCTGGTGGTGCTGGAAGAAGCACACTGAAGAGCAGTGCTTATCGCCTCTGTTTCGGAGGGTACATCCATTCCTGCACACCATCAATACATTCCTATACACAATTTTAAGGGATGACAAGGCACACCACAACTTTCTTCAGAGGATTTTGCACTATTGTATCAATATTCTCCTTATCCCAGTGATGTAGGCACCAAAGAAACTAGATCGTAGTTGTCTGTATATAGAATTGGCAAAGGGGGGCTTCTAGAATTCACTCTGCCCTCCTTTAATTAGTTGGTTTTACTTAGCCATGATCTGAGCATGGCTAGCTAACTCAGTACTGACAGCTGGAATCTCCAAACCTGAATACTTAAAATGTCTACAATAAGAACAGTTTATTTTTCAAAGGGGCTGGATATGACAGATCCTATTGATTTCTCTGGGTTTGTGAATAATGAACAGTTCCAGAAAAGTGACCCCACTTAAAAAAAAAAGTGTAAAGATTTAGTTATAGATTGACAGGTTTCAAAATACTGAATACACATCTGCTGATGTATAAGGTTGAACGGTGAAGCAGGCTCCTTCTTGTGTGACAGCCCCTCCTCCTTCATTCTCCAACTGTGTAGGATTTCTCAGAAAATTGAAGCCTGGCATTTTTGAAAAACTAGTTAAAGGATGGAACTTCTACAGGATTACACACTGCAAAGTAACTGCAGTCTAGCTCAAATCCATTTTCAACCTGAAAATCTATTTCTACTTTCTCTGCATTACCTAGCTTCTACCCCAGGTCTAGTAGGTGGTTTTCCTGGTGGTGGCCGAGGAAAGAACTGAGCTGAACTTGAACTGGTGACTTGATCAGTGGTTGCCCAGGACACTGGCCTTGGAATCTTGCTTTTTCTGGACTGAGGGCTGCTTGGAGATAGAGAGCTATCTTCCGTCTGCTTGCTGAAATGAGAGTCCAGTGTTAATCTAGAAAATGAGGATAACACATCACCCTCAGAAAACGGTACTGGAGCAGCAGCCATTTTTTCCTCCAGTGACTTATCAGAGGCACTTGAGAGGTCACCAAGGAAAGATTTGAGCTGTCTCTTTTCCATAAGTAGTCTGACCAAGTCTGTCTGATGGGCCTTTTTTAGAAGAAGCTTTTCCTTTGCTGAAACAGGAGAAGAGGACTCTGACGTTGAGTCTATCTCTTGTGCTAAAACTGGGATTCGGCTCTGCCTGAATACAAAAGGAGATTTAACTAAGTCCTTCTTAGATCGATGAGAATTCTCATTTTCTGAAATGCAGTGGAATAATTCTCCATTTCTGGGAGCATTTTTCTCTTTTTTGTCCTCCTGGTGCAAAAAAGTAGTAAGGGCCACTTGGTGGCATTTCAAGTCTTGGATATGGACTTCTTCCTTATTAGAATGAAAACCATTTTCCTGAACTGGTGCTATTTTGCTTGCCTGTCTATTGACATGTGGGTTGGTAAGTCTTGAGGGAGAAAATTCTGATATTTTAGGTGTTATTGACTTCAGGACCTCATCTTGATTTGGCACCAAATAGATGGGCCTTGGCTTCGATTCTTCAGCAGCTTCAGTATTCGTTAGAGGTTCTTCCTCTGCAGATTTTGAGTTTCCTGGCAAAAAATTCTGTTCTTTGCTTAGCATTTCAATGGCATCCTCAGAAACCACTGGAAGCCTTTCTTCCTCAGTCTCCCCTACAGGAATATTTTCAAATTCTTTCTCTTCCTGTATCCCACTATGTTGTTCAGGCAGGTCCTTTTTGCCACAGTCCAGGACATTGACACATTCTTTGACAAGTCCTTCCCTGTCAAGCACCTCTTGGCTGATATTAAGTACCAAATCTGGTCTGCTGGCACTAGCTGGAAGTGAGTCTTCTGTCACAACCAAACCTGGCAAACTTTCCTTCGGAGAGGAAAGTTCCATGGTGTGCTCCATAGACTGAGCATCCTGCTCTCTTTTCTCTAGCTGGTGGCCATAATGAAAGCTCTCTGAAGCAGACTGTGTGGATGCCACTGAAGGTCTGGGTATTGTTATCTGCATTGGGAAATTAGAGAAGGAAAAGGTGAGAAACTCAGAAATGTTATATAGATAACATTCTTTAAATAGCATTTTTGATTCCATGTCTTCAAGATATAATATATAATGATTCCTATGAATCTCAATGATCAAATAATACCTAACTTCATAATTTACATTTAGATAATTAGAACAAAAATACTCTATCAGCCCAAGACAGAAATGTGTAACAGGCTAAACCAAACATAATCTCAGTGGAAAATGTTGCAGTTACCAGGTAACCCTCCTGGAAATGAGATCCAGCCTAACAGGTAGGGTTTTTATTTATTTTATATTAGTTTAAATAGTCTTAGAAGTTGTATATGAACATAAAATCTTTAACAAGTACACACAGTATTTTTAGACAAGTACAGGAAACAAAGAACACAGCGAGTTCCAGATTCAGGAATGGACTTAAATTTCATTTTAGGCAGAATTTAGATACTTTGTTAACAAAACAATTAACAAAAAACTTTATTGACCTAATACATCCATACCCATAATACCTATGTTTTTGTCCAGAAAAACTTCCCTGAGTACCCAAATTTTAGCTATTACCTTCCTTATGGAAGCTGATGCCTCCTTTTAACTAAGCAACCTGGTTAGGACATCTCTTTACCTAAGGTCATTAAGAGATTCACAAATTAAATATTCACATGTCTAAATCCCCTAATAGGTCTAATCCAATACATACACTAAAAGCACTCCTAAAACCTCTATATAGTATTGAGTCAGAGTCCCTTTGAAAAACAGTTGGTTATGGTGAGTGCTGTCTCTAGTACATAGCTTAATTGTTAGAGCACATGTCCAGGAAATGGGAAACCTGTACTCAGGTCTCTGCCCACCTGAGAGACATAAACCCACTTCCCCCAGTTCCCATCAAGTATGGACAAAACCAGAATGGAGTTGCTTCTCACGTTCCCCGTTGAAGTCAGGCCACTGCACAGAGTCATGAGGTCAGAGGGTGAGAGAGCACACACAAAAAGTGAGAGGAGTTTGACCTCTACGGCCAAGGGAAGAACGCACTCTCATGTGAAGAGAGTCCTGGATTCTGGTTTACACATATCAGATTGAGCTGTTTGGTATAAACAGTAGGAAATCAAGGGGCTACCCTTACATCTTTATCTACATGGACAGGGAGTTCAGCAACTTTTTCCCTTGTATTCTTTAGCCTCGTTCATCTGACATAGTTTGAGTTTGTAATACTCAACAGAAAGTGGAAGACCAGAGTCTGGGTTTGCACATAAAGATTTTCCCGATGCACTGATGGCTGAAGAGACAACTAGTGGTAGCCTATCTCCAGTCTTGTCAGGATTCTGCTGTGTTACAAGATAGATTTCACTTGACGTTGTTGCAGAAATTATACATGCTGCTAAACTTAATGGGCTTTTGCAAGAGCTAGTACATTGGTACTACTGGGTGGTAGAAACCAAGCTCATCTGTCAGGACCCATAACAATTTATACTGTGTACTCAACCTTACAAATACAGAACAACTCTCCAAAATATGAAATGGGAACTGACAGCGAAGGAGATATAATCAGATTTCCCATGAAAGTATAATAGCTTCATTGAAATTCATTGAATTTTTTTTTCCATTTTCTTCATAGCCCTGTATAAAAAAAAATTTCCACGGGTGCACATTTAGCTTCATGAAACACAAACATCCAACTGATATTGTAAACAGTTCACTAGAACAAAACATGAAACATAAATCACAGGCATAAAGCTGAATTAGAAAGAGGTCAATTATTTATGTTAAAGAAATTATTTCTACATTATAAAACATATTCAGAACCTCTCTAAGTTACCCAACGCAGTTCTGGAACCTTAATCTAAAAATCTGGACTCACATTTTTGAGAAATTTGGAATAAAATCAGGAGAAAAATATTTTCTTAGTTTTATAAGTCGGACCACTTTGTTAAGCTACAGAAAGTGGTATTTTGCACTGGGGAGTGGGAGAATAGCAGAAATGTAAGATGATTGAACTCCTGTTTTCTCAAGTTGACTTAAGCTGTCTGTATCATCCCCCTCAAGTTAAGATTTACTGAAATAGTGGGGAAAAAAAACCCCAAAACTAAACCAAAACAAACAAAAAAAACCCCACTGAGACCTGCAGCAAGAGGCTACTTTTTGTCTCCTTGATAATTTGTTTTCAAGTTCGAGCCAATACAGTCCCCTCGTGTTTGCTGAATTAAAATGGTACATTGAGAATCAAACTGAAGTTACTTAGTTTCAGCAAAACAGTCTTCCTCATCTCCTCTCACTCTCGATCTGGGTTCTTTCCTCTGAAAGAAACTCTAATCCCAAATTAAAGAAGTCTTTCTTACTTCAAAAGCTTTCTTGTGCAAATCCAAGCACATCAGTTTAGCTACAGAAAAAAACAGAGGAAGTAGAATTTCACTTTTCCATGATTAGGTCAATTAGTGCCTAAATCTCAACTGTTAAAACAAAAATAGCTCAGCAAGACCTCTGCACAGAAAGGAAAATGGATAAAACTGGAGAAAAAAAAAAGAGAAAAAATGTCTAGAAAACAGGACACCTATCCCATAGGCTTCCATACATCTCTAGGACAACACATCTCCAGGTATCATGCACCAAAGGACTCTTTCACATGACAGAAGAACATATTTTGGATTGTCACACAAAAATCATCAATCTCTTTGAAATTCTCAACTACAAGCTGGGTAAAACTGGATTCAGGAAATTTTAATGCAATGTTGTCCTTGGAATAGCAGGTTCAGATTTTGGAGAGATCACTTGGGCATTTGCTGTCCACTCAGCTCTGTCTCCAACTTGTTTCAATATCTTGTTCTCCAGGGCTACAGATGGTGTCTCCGAAGTAAGGTAATCTTGTAAAATATTTCTTTTTCCAAACTTTTCACTTGATGAGCTAGTCTGGTTGCCAATTCAAATAACCCAGGAATGAAAAAAAACAGAGTTGTCTTCCATATATCTGAAGAAGGATGACTTCCGTTAGCATAGTATTGTTCTGGTGTCCTCTCAATTTTCAGAGGTAAAGACAACCTTAGTTATTTGCTTTTAGGAGGATATTTATCTTCTTGGTACGCTTCCAGAAGGGCTGCAACTGCATTTAAATCCTCCTCTGCTCAAATATGTTTACATGGAATCTCTGTTTTCCTTGTGACCTCTCTCTCATATGTCAATTCTCTGTTAGGTGAACCCAGCTCCAATCTGAAATTTATTTACAGTTTTCAACAGACTTCATATCCTTTGCCACACCTGAAGAGAGAATTTCCTAGTTTTTCAGGCCTATCTTGGCCTACCCAGATTTAACCCTTACACCCAAGACAGAAGCGTAAGCTTGTTGAACAACCTACAACAGAACAGGCAGGAGTTATTTGTGAAAGAAAAACACTGAACAAGTGCAGGAAAGAAAAGTATACTGGATGACTAAGTATCATCAAAGACTCAGTACTAGTGAATAGGTTCAGTTTCAGAAATGGCTTTTTTAATACATATATCACTTTCTTGATTTGCGTCCCCTAATAAACAAAAGTTTGTTTTCAGATGGTCAATAAACCCCTTATTAGTCTTCTCAAAGCACAAGAATTAAATCATATCCCCGTTGGGCTTGACATTTTACCTATATGTGCAATTTGTAATCATGCAGAAGTGCCTTTCATGCAAGGGTTGCTACAACTTCGGGTGCAGCTTTAAGAGAGAAACAAAAGATCAAGCCCAATTTTTCAAAAATCTGTGAATGTGCATGAGAAAACAGAACTTGTACAGAACTGAACTCTGTTAAATCATAGAATAGTTTGGGTTGGAAGGGACCTTAAGAATCATCTAGTTCCAACCCCCCTGCCATGGGCAGGGATACAAATGCTTTCATTTGGAAGAACTTGGATAGTCAATAGTCAGTTGCTGAAGAAATGGAAGAAGCTTGTAGACAATCCTCCTAAGGCTCCTTATAAGATTTCTTTGGGTAAAGCATCAGCTTCTTTACAAGGCTGGCCACTACAGATAACTTCATGATTCACCACTATGCAGGATTCTAAGTAAAAAGACTGGAGGAAGTTTTGAATTCCTTAAGACCATTTAAATAAATAAATAAATAAATAAATAAATATAATTCTGTAGCCTTAATTATTCCATAAATAGTCCTCTCACTCTTATGTTTGTGAAACCTTGCAAGATAGAAGTCATAATCAAGGAGTCTGAGGAGGGCTGATCCACCTGAAAAATACACCATTTTAAATTATCATTTAGTCTAATTCAGGGAGACAGAAATAACAAGGTTGTTCAGTGCATATCTAGTTACAAAACAAATAACACATGGCCTCATATGTAAAATTCAAAAAGCCCATCATAACCATAAATGAACCTAGTACTTTCTTTTCTTCTGCCACTAATTAAAATCTTACACTGTGAGATTTCTTTGCCTGATCATGTCAGTTTTGTAAAACACTGAACCTGAGGAACAAAGATTACAATGCAATGTGGGCAATTCATCTCAGAAGAAAAATGCGGGGAATAGAATTTAAAATGCTGCCTCTCAGCTCACTATAATAATCAGTTTATAACACTACCTACCCAATTACTGCAATAACAGAGGTTATGTGATACAGCAGATTACTGAAAATGGCTGAGACAATATATGGAACAATATGTTTAAGGTTCTCCTTTCACTAGAAAATATTTGAGTGAAATTATTACCACCACGGTCTTGAATCCTTTGGCCTTCCCTAAATAATTTCTTCATTCCTTTCTGATTTCTCAAATTAACACTCAACTGAGACAAAAAAATAGGACTACATTTTCTTCAAGAAACTACAAGATGGTGAATGGGATGTTAAGGAGGAAAAGGACCAAAACAACAACAACAACAACAAATATCTCTTGGACATCTGTTATGACATCTGACAAACTTTCCTCCTTTTAAACCTTTGACAGGCTGCAATAGCAAGTGATATGCTTCTATAAAATCCTCTGTGAATGTATACAGCAAATTGCAG